AGATGCCCCCTCCTCCTAATATTCTTCTTCCTCCTCCTCCTCCTCCTCCTCCTCCCCCTCCTCCTCCTCCTCCTCCTCCTCCTCCTCCTCCCCTCCTCCTCCTTTTCCTCCTCCGCCTCCTCCTCGACACTCCTCCTCCTCCTCCTCCTCCGCCTCCTCCTCCTGCTCCTCCTCTTCCTTTCCTCCTCCCTCCTCTTCCTCTTCCTCCTCCTCCCTGCCTCGTCCTCCTCCTCCTCCGCCTCCTCTCCTCCTCCTCCAGTGTCATCCTGCTCCTCCTCTCATCATCATCATCACATCCTTTTTTTTTTTTCTCTTCCTCCTCCTCCTCCTCCACCCTCATCATTCCTCATCCTCCTTCCTCCTCCTCCTCCTGTCCTCCTCCTCCTCCTTCCTCCTCTTCCTCCTCCTCCTCTTCGTCCTCCTCCTCCTCCTCTTCCTCCTCCTCTTCCTTCTTATTAGTAATTATTATTATTAATATTATTATTATTATTATTGTTAATATTATTATCATTATTAGTATTCTTCTTCTTATTCTTATTATTATTATATTATTATTATTCCTCCTCCTCCTCCTCTTCCTCCTTCTCCTCCTCCTCCTCCTCCTCCTCCTCCAGCTCCTGATCTTCACCGCCATCATCCCCCGAGTGTTCTCCGAAGGGTTTCCTCAACGGCTGGGGGAACACAACGCTCGCCACATGGACGATTCCAAAAGGAAGGACGACGGCGGGGGATCCCACGACACGGCCGAGCCCACGACCGACAACGGCGGCGACCGGACGAACCCCGCGACCCACGAGGAGGAGGCAGGGACCGACGAGCCACACTAGGGGGGAGCGCCGCTGGAGGGTGGCAGGAAAGCCACGCCACCTCCGACAGAAGACCGAACGCCACGGGGCCGAAGGCCGGGAATGGCGGAAGCAGGGGCGAGCGAAACACGGCGGAACCAAGGGCGACAGAGCGGCGCGCGCCCAGAGCGGTTAATCGGTGAGTAACGGGGCACAGCAGGGGACCCATCGGCGTGTGACACAGCACACAAAGGCGATCGGGCCGCCAAGGCTGGCTCGACGCAATCGCTGCAATCGGGGGCGCTGCTGGGGGTGCCGACGACGCCGCCGAAACCAGCTGGGCTGTCGCCTCGAACACCGGGGGGATTGCCCGAGGGCCCATTTGGCCAGGGTGCCTTTCGACCCACAGAACGCAGGGGTCCCGCCCAAAATGGCCACGCCCTCCACGTCGGACAAGTTTGGCGCGCAAGTTTCTGACGAGGCCAATGCTCCTCGCCGTGGGTTTTCGTCAAAAATACGGCGCAGCGAGCTTTTCTGAGGAGAGCCGCCGCGGCGTCGGGGCGGGAGCGCGCACCTCTCGCCCGCGCCCCAATATTGACAACTCAGAATTGGGTTTCGGCCATCGAGTCAAGGGGCCGCACCCCACGGGCCCAAGGAGGGGCGGGGGGGGAGAAACAAAACGCCGCGGGCCAAAGGCCAGGGGAGGCGAACAAGAGCCAATAAACACGCAACTGAAACACGGCAAGACCAGGAAGCGACGGACCGGCGCGTGCTCAGAGCGACTAAACGATGAGCAGGAGAGCAACCCAGACATCTCATTGGCGCGTGACACGAACGACCGATCGGCGTGTGACGGGGCAAACAGATCGGTGGTTGTCCGGCGCATGACCACCCGACGGAGGAAACTGCACCGCGGCGCACCACTCGCACGCGGCGAGGAAGCCGCGCAAGATACACACACCATGCAACCATGGGCCCAACGCGCTGCCGCCGAACCGCGCGCAATGAGCTCTCCAAGCAAACTTGCCCTAGCCGCCCAGCCACATGACGCGGGCCGCGGGCTTCTCTGGGGCCACCCTCCAGGCCAGCCAGGTGTCTGGCTGAATAGGCGCCCTCGGCTGCTACGGGCTGGCCCGGTGGCCCCGGCGAGGCCGGCGGAGCGCGAGTGCCAGCTGATTCCTGCCCGGGCGTTGGAATGGAGTACAAAAGGTCGATCACGACCTGGCGTGGGACCGTGTCTGGGCGAGCTCGCCCCTTCCGCTTCTTTCTGCGATCCCAGTGACCAGGTCCACGGAGAGTCAGCCCACGTTTCCTTGACCTCCACCCAAAGGCCACCCTGCGCTTGCCGGGCGAGTCGAAGCCCACCCCGAGACGGCGCCTCCGCAACGGGCGCGCGGCAAAGAACTGCGGATCTCCGAACGCCCAGCGTCGCCCGCAGCAGCGCTGCCCGAGCGCGAGGGGCGGCCAGGCGCGCCAGGGCCTGCCAGAAGCAGGCCGCCTGCTTCCTCGGCCTGAGCTGGCGGCCCCATGGCCTCACTGACCGGCGCGGGCCAGGATGGCGCTGGCGAGCTTACCCGAGCGCCCGCGCAACGGAGGCCGCAGCGGCGCAAAGCGGCACTTAGCCACGCGGCGGCGCAGGGCAAGCTCGCCCTGTCCCTCTGGGTCTGCGGAGCTGTCGTCAGCCAGCGATTGGTCGGAGCAATGCGGATCGAGGCATCATTCCTCCTCATCCCTCCTAGATTTCTGCGCGCCGTCCGACTTGCCCTCGTCCGCATGCGTTCGGGCGGGGACTCCACGCAAACGGAAAGGAGACATGGGTCTGCCGACCCGGCCCCCCAAGGCCCCCCCTACACCCCGACTCGCTCAAGGATGGGCGGGCGTGGCTCGCGCGGGATCGAAAGGATTGGCGGCGCAGCCTCAACATGTCTGGCGGCGTTTCATCGACAAGATTGGCGCGCGCAGGATTGGGGGCGAGCTCCCCGACGTTGTCGCCCTGCTCCTGCACCTCCACGCTGCCGTCCGCCGCAACGCCAGCAGGGTCCCAAGAGAGAATCGGACACCCCCGCTCCGCGGCATCGCTGGACGTCAACGCTGAGAGGCCGTAGTCGCGCGACCCGACAGCGAAGCACGCGGACTGGACCTCCGCGACAACGTCGACGGCCTCCGTCATCTCGACGCCCCCCATCCTTCTCCATGGCTCCACCTCCAACCCTCCCGACGCCCACCTCCACGACCTCTACCTCGTCGTCGACGTCTCCCTGCACCTCCATGCCCTCCTTGACCGCGCCTCCACTGACAGGACTGGCTGCCCCTACCTCTTCACGCGCGCGCTGATCGGGGCGCCGTGGCAGATGATTGCGGGCATTAGTTTCACGCCCAGTATCCCGCTGCACAACGCCAGGGCCGGCAGCCACTGCCCACGCCTGTCCTTCTCGCGCGCGCTGATCGGGGCACTGGAGCAGATGATTGATGGTGGGCTTTGGGTTCACTCCCACCATCTCTCGGAGCAGCGCCAGCACCAGCTGCCTCTGCACCTGCCAGTCCATCTCGCGCGCACTGACGGCCTCCAATCTCGCGCCCAAAATCTCGCCGCGCACGTTCGTCTCGAGCGTGCCCATCGGGGTGCTGTAGCAGATGGGGGCGGGCTCCAGCTTCACTCCTAGCATTTCGCTGAACGGCGCCAGGGCCGGCTCCACTGCCTATGCCTGTCCTTTTCGCGCGCGCCGATAGGGGTGCTGGAGTAGGCGATGGTGGGTCCCTTCGCGCGCGCTGCTCGGGATACTGGAGCAGATGACGGCGCCCGATGGCCGACCGCCACGGCGTCCGCCGCGAGCTCGGCGGCCTGCGCCAGCCCTCCAATGGCGGTCCAGAGGGCGGCCCGAGCCGCCGCGGCGGCGGCCGCGGCGCAGGCGCAGGCGGCGATCGCGGCGGCCGCCCCGGGCGCGTCAGCTGCGTCGAACGCGCCGACGCCAGGGGCAGAGCTGGCAGCTTCGACCGCGCAGGCGGCGCCAGCGGCGCCAGCCGCAGAGCAGCGCACTCGGGCCGCGCCGACATGCCCGCGGGCGTCGGCAACGCCCGGGGCGCCCACAGGCGAGAGGACGAGCAGCCCCGCCCGCGCCGACCGCCCAGAGGGCGTCAGCTGCGAGGGCCGAGGCGACGGCGCCAGCAGCGCCGAAAGCGCTCGCCGCAGCAGGTGCACCGCCGAGAGCGGCCCTGCCCGCCGCGCCCGCAGCACCAGCCTCGTCAGCAGCGCCAGGGAGCCCGCGCGCGCCAGCCGCGTCAGCGGCGTCGATCGCGCCGACGCCAGGAACAGCATCGGCAGCTTCGACCGCGTTGGCGGCGGCGCCAGCCGCAGAGAGGCGCACTCGGGCCGCGCCGACATGCCCGGGGGCGTCGGCAGCGCCTGGGGCGCCCGCGGGAGCGAGAGGGCGAGCAGCCCCGCCAGCACCAGTGGTCACAAACCGCCCAAGGGGCGTCAGCAGCGAAGACCGAAGCGGGAGGGCCAGCGGCGCCGACCGCGCCCGGCGCGCCAGCAGCACCAGCCGCGCTAGCGGTGCCAGAAAGCCCCGGTGGGCCCGCGTCGACCACGGCGCCGGCAGCGGCGGCAGCCAAGCGGCGACCAGCAGCGGGCAGCGGTCTCCTTCATGCCCGGGCCGGGCGCCGCACCGGAGCCAGGGGCGTGCTTGAGCCAGATGGGCCACACACACACACAAACCCACAAATACACACACACACACATCGAAGCCTGGATGCTGTGCTGCATATGTGGGGCAGTCGAAGGGAGGTAGGAATGAATCAAAGAGCCGCCGGGTCAGAGCCACATACAGCCAGGATAACAGCCAAACAAATTAGGAGGGGTAGACCTCAGCCTCCGCGGGGTGGGGCTCCTCTTCATCAGCCTGCCCTTCCAAGCTGGCAGCGAGGCGAGCCGCCTCGCCATCCCAAAACGGGAGGGCGTCCAGCCGAAAAGAGGCAGAGAAGGGAAAGGGACGAGGAGGAGATGACGACAACGATGCGGAAGGAAGAAGGGACACTGCCCCTGATTAGACAAGCGCGTACCACTACTCGCAAAGGTAACTACTCGCAAATGGCCTGGATTCGCCGCGGGGGATGTACGATCCACTACATCGAGGCCAACATGGGTTTTGCGCACGTTGTCGAGTAGATACTGTGCGAGTAGTGGAACGCGCTCGGTGACTGATAGCCCATCCCCGCCTATGTACTCCTTGTCCCTGAAGCCGGGTGCCTCCCCTTTCCGCTGTCTCGTCAGTAGGCTGCATCGGCCAGCGGCAGCGCTGGCCAAAAAAAACCACAGGCGGCCAGTGGCCGAAACTCCTCCTCCTCCTCCTTCTCCTAGTCCCCTTCCTCCTCACCATCATCATCAGCATCAGAAGCAGCAGCATCGTCATCATCAGCAGCATTATCAGCATCATCAGCATCATCAGCATCATCATCACCATCATCATCAGCATCATTAGCAGCATAAACGTCATCTTGCCATCACCACAACCAGAAGCATCGGCATCAGCATCAGCATCAGCATCAGCATCAGAATTATCATCATACCTGCTCCTCGTCCTCCTTGTCCTCCTCCTCCTCCTCCTCCTCCTCCTCCTCCTGCTGTTCCCTTCCTCATCCGCCTCCTCCACCTCATCCCTCCTCCTACTCCTCCCTCCTCTTCCTCCTCCTCATCCTCCTCCTCCCTCTTCCTCCTCCTCCTCCTCCTCCTCCTCCTCCTCCTCCTCCTCCGCCTCCTCCTCACTCCCTCCCTCCCTCCCTCCCTGTCTCCCTCCTCCTCCCTCCTCCCATTCCCTCCCCTCCTCCCTCCTCCCTCTCCCTCCTCCTCCTTCCCTCCTCCCCTCCTCCTCCCTCCTCCCTCCTCCCCTCCTCCTCCTCCTCCTCTCCTCCTCCTCCTCCTCCTCCTCCTCCTTTTCCTCATCTTCCTCCTCCTCCTCCTCCTCTTCCTCCTCCTCCTCCTTCTCCTCCTCCTCCTCCCTCCTCCTCCTCCTGTGTCCTGCCTGCTTCTTTGTTCCTTCTGTTCCATAGCTTTTTCCCTCGCTACTGTCGCATGCCTCCCCATGCTACGGACATCGATCCACCCCTCCCTTCACCCGATTATATCTCTCTTTATCTCTCTTGCTCTCTCTCTCTCTCTCTCTTTCTCTCTCTCTCTCTCTCTCTCTCTTTCTCTTTCTCTTTCTCTCTCTCTCTCTCTCTCTCTCTATCTCTCTCTCCTCTTTCCTCGCTGGCACTTCTGCCTCCCCCGGTCTCCCCCAGTCGTCCGTCGATCTGCTCTCGTGGTGGTCCCTTGTTCGTCTCCTCGCTCCTTGTACCTCTTCTCACGCGCATGCGCGCGACAAGAATCTAGTCGAAGGGGCTTCCTTCATCACACTCCCAATCCCTATCCCGAGCCCACCCTTTTCCCGAGTCTTCCTCTGCCAACCACCTCCTTTTTCCCCCTCCCCGCCCCCCTCCTCACCCGCATGCCTGGTGCTTGGCACATTCCCATGTGGTTGCTGCTCCTCTGCCCCCTTTTCAATCCTCGTCATCATCCTGCTTAGTGTTCCTCGTCTTCTCCCCCCATCATCGTCTTCTCCCCCCTCATCCTCGTCTTCTCCCCCAATTCCCTCCTCGTCATCGTCTTCTCCCCCCTTCCCCCCTCACCCCCCACCCTACCCCATCCCACACACCCTTGGGGCAGTTGAATGAGAGTTCCCCTCCCCCATCGATGGCGAGGTCTAAGCTGGATCAGCGTATGACGTCACTCTGCTTGACCCCCCAGCAGCGCTCGAAAGTGGCGACGGCGTCGCAGTTCGCAACCACCCCAAGGATGGAGAGGTCTGATCTGAATCTGCGAATGCCGTACCTCTGCTGGACCCCAGTTGCCCCCGAAAGTGGCGACAGTTTCGCAACTCGCAGTCCCCCCACCCCCACCCCCAGGGATGGCGAGGTCGAATCTGGATCTGCATATGACGTCACTCCGCTGAAACACCCAGCAGCCCTCGAAAGTGGCGGATGTATCGCAGTTCGCAGCCACCCCAGGGATGGCGAGGTCTAGCCTGAATCTGCGTATGACGTCACTCCGCTGAAACACCCAGCAGCCCTCGAAAGTGGAGACAGCGTCGCAGTTCGCAGCCACCCCAGGGATGGCGAGGTCTGGTCTGAATATGAGTATGGCGTCACTCCGCTGACCCCCCAGCAGCCCACGAAAGTGGCGACAGCTTCGCAATTCGCAGCCACCCCAGCGATGGCAAGGTCTAATCGGAGTCTGCGTCTGACGTCACTCCGCTGGACCCCCCATCAGCCCTCGAAAGTGGCGACATCTTCGCAGCTCACAGTTCCCAGCCACCCCAGGGATGGCGAGGTCTAATCTGAATCTGCGTATGACGTCACTCGCTGGACCCCTCAGCAGCCCTCGAAAGTGGCGACAGTTTCGCAACTCGCAGCCCCCCAGCGATGGCGAGGTCTGATCTGAATCTGCGTATGGCGTCACTCCGCTGGACCCCCCAGCAGCCCTCGAAAGTGGCGGATGTTTCGCAGTTCGCAGCCACCCCAGGGATGGCGAGGTCTAATCTGCGTATGACGTCACACCGCTGGACCCCTCAGCAGCCCTCGAAAGTTGCGACAGCTTTGCAATTCGCAGCCCTCCAGCGACGGCGAGGTCGAATGTGATTCTGCGTATGACGTCACTCCGCAGGACCCCCCAGCAGCCCTCGAAAATGGCGACAGCTTCACCATTCGCAGCCCCCTCAGGATGGCGCAGCTCGCAGCGCCCCCAGCACTGGCGGAGCATGAGGCAGGCTGGCGGGCAGGCAGGAGCGAGGCAAGAGGCAGGAGAGCAGAGGAGGCAAGACGAAGGGGAGAGGAGGAGAGAGGAGAAGAGGACAGGGCGGGAGGGGGGAAGGTCGCGACCGCAGCTCCCTGTTCAAAACGAGAACTGCCTGAACATGAACGTTCCGAAGCACGAGCAGACTGCTTGGACGGGCGCTGGGCCCCCCCCCCCCTTTGGCGCGCGGAGCGCGCGGGTGCCGGCAGGGAGGCCCAGCGCGGATCCAAGACCTCCGCGCGGACCTCCGAGAACGTATGCTCAGGCAGCCGGTTCCTCTTCGGAACAGGGGAGAGGAGGAGCAAACGGATTATGATGAGGTGGAGGAGGAAGAGGAAGAGGAACACAAGGAAGAAGAGGAGAAGCGGGAGGAGGAGGAGGCCCCGACCCTCGGCGCACCCCTCTCTTCTTGGCGTCCTCCTCCATCTCCTTCAGAGCCTTCTGCCTCTCCGCCTCCTGCGCCTTCGCGTGCCGAGCCTGCCTGAGCTTGAGCGCAGCCAGCTCCTCGGCGAGAGCGGCACCGCCATCGTCCTCCTCCTCCTCCTCCTCCTCCTCCTCATCATCATCATCATCATCATCAGCAGCAGCAGCAGCATCATCAACATCATCATCATCATCCTCATCATCATCATCATCACCACCATCATCATCATCACAACATCATCATCAGCATCAGCATCAGCATCAGCATCATCATCAGCAGCATCAGCATCATCATCATCATCATCATCCTCATCATCCTCATCATCATCATCATCATCATCATCATCATCGTCACCACCACCACCATCATCATCATCATCACCACCACCATCACCCATCATCGTCGTCATGATCGTCATCAGCAGCATCATCACCACCACCACCATCATCATCATCATCATCATCATCATCATCATCATCATCATCATCATCATCATGAGCATCATCATCATCACCATCATCAGCATCATCAGCATCATCAGCATCATCAGCATCAGCATCATCAGCATCATAATCCTGATCATCATCAGCATCAGCATCAGCATCAGAATCATCATCCTCAGCATCATCATCAGCATCATGACCATCGTCATCATCATCCTCCTAATCATCATCATCATCAGCATCATCGGCAGCAGCATAATCAGCATCATCATCAACACCAACATCAGCATCATCACCATAATGGTCATCATCACCATCATCAACAACAGTATCATCATCATCATCGTCATCATCGTCATCATCATCATCATCCGTATCATTGTCATCACCACTCCGCCTCATCAACATCATCATCCGTATCATCACCACCACCACATCATCATCAGCATCAGCATCAGCATCAGCATCAACATCATCATCAGCATCATCATCCTCATCATCAGCGTCAGCATCATCATCATCATCAGCATCATCATCATCGTCAGCAGCATCGTCATAATCATCATCACCATCACCATCGCCATCATCATCACCATCAGCCTCACCATGACCATCACCATCATCATCATCATCATCATCAGCATCATGATCATGGTCATGATCATGATTATCATCATCATCATCATCCTCATCATCATCATCATCAGTATGACCATCGTCGGCGTCATCGTCATTGTCAACGTCATCGTCATCGTAAGGTTCATGATCAACATCATCATCATTGCCATCAACGTCAACATCATCAGCATCAGCATCATCATCGTCGTCGTGGTCTCCGTCGTCGTCGTCATGTCCATCGCCATCGTCATCATCATCAGCATCATCATCATCATCGTCATCGTCATCGTTATCATCCTCCCCCTCACCAACGATCACAATCATCATCAGCATCACCATCATCATCATGATCCTCATTATCATCATCAACAGCAGCATCAGCATCAACATCATCATAGTCACCATTACCATCACCAACATCATAATCATCATCATCATCATCATCAGCATCATCCGTATCATTGTCATTATCACCTTCAGCCTCATCATCCTCATAATCACCATCATCATCTCCATCGTCATCACCCCACCCGCAACATCAACATCATCCTCATCACCATGACCATCACCATCACCATCATCATCGTCAGCATCAGCATCATCATCATCGTCGTCGGCGTCGTCGTCGTCATCGGCATCGTCATCGTCATCGTCATCGTCATCCTCATCGTCCTCATCTTCATTACGATCATCATCATCATCAGCATCATCGTCATTCTAACCATCCAGATCACCATCATCAGCATCGTCATCATCAGCATCATCATCATCGTCGTCGTCTCCATCGTCGTCGTCATCGCCATCGCCATCGTCATTGTCATCATCATCGTCATCGTCATCATCATCTCCTCCTCATCATCATCAGCATCACCATCATCGTCATCATCATCATCAGCATCATCATTATCATTATCATCCCCCTCCTCCAGCTTCCTCTGCGCCCACTCGTCCCGCTCATCCCCCAGATCCCCCAGATCCCATTCCTCGCCCTCAACCTCCACCTCCTCCTCCCTCCCTCCCTCCCGTTCGTGCCTCTGCCAATGCTGCCTACTACTCTGTTTGGGCGGTGCAAAAGGCGAAACGAATGAATTGCATACTGCTAACGCAGGGGAGCAGGATGGGCGGGATGAGAGCGAGTGCCAGAAGAGGCGCAAGCACGCAAAAGTTGTTCATTCCCCCTTTCATCCAAAATCTCTTGCACTGTTGCTCACGACACTGATTTTCCCCTGCTTACGTCTCCTCACCCTTCCCTTTACCACATTCCTCTCCCTCCCTGTCGTCTCCATGCCCTTCCTCACTTCTCGCTTCCCTCCCTCGACTTCCCTTTCGGTGCCTACCCCGTGATCCTCTCCTTCCCCTTTCCCTTTCCCTCTGACTGCTGGGTCTGTGGCCTGTGTGCTTCGTTGCCTTGTCGCCTGGGTTCATCGACATTGCTATATCTCTTCCTCCCCTTCTCGCCCAGCCGACCACCCCAGCTCCTTCTCTGCACGCTCGGCGGCCTCCGCCGCGTCGGCCTCGCCTAGATGGGGAAGCTGGGAACACGACGTTAGCATCTCCTCCGACTCCTCCTCGGCCTCTTCGTCCTCCGCCGACTCCATTTTCCCCTTCCGCCTCCTCATCGTGATCCTTACTCTCCGCGACTTCCTCCCTTCTTCTCGTCTCTGGCCTCCGCTTCTTGCTTCCGCTCCAACTTCACATGCCGTTGGATGATGACTGGGACGGTTTTATATGGTAACTCCAACACGAAGTAGCACAGTCGAAGCGGCACACCATAATCACCCCATGTGACCCCAGGGTCTGCTTTAGTCTGCGCATCACAGACACGCACCTGACAATGTTGAATAACTATTGAAGAGAAAGCTCCAACCGTGCCGTGGGATCTGCGAGGTCCTGAGGTCCCTTCGGATTCTTTGCATCAGGCTTTGGAAGAATGTATGCACACGTCGGTCGGAAGAAGTAGGTAAAAACATGAAGTAGGAAGGCGGATCAAGTTGATTGGGTTCAGGCACCCCCAGAGAATAACAAAACACAGCAAAAGCGTGTCGATTCTTGAAGTAGGAAGGCGCTTGAAATAGATTGGGATCTGGGAACCCAAAAATACCTACTTTCAACGACCGGGCATGTAATGGGGCCCCAGACCCTGAGTTCCTGGCACTCTCGAACGCCCCCAGGCGCTCTTTTCCCCAGCAGTATCGTTCCCGAGGCCTGGGAGCGTGATTCAGCATCCACACCTTCACCATGGCCGAAGATGACCCCGTGGCCCGTCCTGGAGCCCCCGGGGCCTCGTTGGCCGTCTTGAAGGCCCGGGGCCGATCCAGGAGGCCACAGTTATGTTAAGATCGCTGCGCTGCTGTACGATCTCGCATCGCAAATCAAATTTGAACCTAATTACCCCCGCCGCGATACCCACGGATCGCTCCTTCCTCCTCCTCCTCCTCCTCCTCTTCCTCCTCCTCCTCCTCCTCCTCCTCCTCCTCCTCCTCCTCCTCCTCCTCCTCCTCCTCCTCCTCCTCCTCCTCCTCCCCATGGCCGTGGCCGGCTGCACGGAGCGACGGGAAAGCGGAACGGAGCGGAGGCCGGCGCGGGGCTCCGCGGGGGAGCTGCCGGGAGGGCCGGGGCCGGCCGCACGCTGCTGCAATCTGGGGCAGGATCTGCGCCGCGTCGCGCTCCTCGCCCAGACGTTTTCCGGTGTCGCGATTCGTGCCTCGGCTGGACCGGAAAACGAGCGACACCGCCCCACCTGCGGCCCAGCGGGGCGTAGCGTATGCCAGGAAGGCTGGCGTGGGCGTTTGCGTGGTGTGCGCTGCGGCCCCCGGTGGGCCGTGGCGCAACATGGAGGGCCTTAGGTGGGGTGATGTCGTTTGGTTGAAGGGAACGAACTCCATACACCGACGCTTTTTCCGGTCGACGCTTTGCACAGGAAAGCTCCATCCACGCTCATCGACGCTAACCGACGCTGAATCGGCGCTATCCCATCGTTTCCTAGACGCTAGTCGACGCTCATCGACGCTACAAAGACGGAATCAAGGGGGCATACCAGGCCCGCATGAAGGGGCCCTGGGACACACAAATAAATACACACAAATAACCAGATTCCCAATATTTTCCCATACTTTCTGGGTTGTTGTCTTCCCCAATTCGCATATTTTCCCGTATTTTCTGGGGAGTCGACGATTGAGTCTCCGTTTTTTCCCTCCTGAATGATTCGCAACCGAAATGTACAGGTTCTTGTTCTTGTATCCGATGCCTCTTTTTTGTCTGGCCTGGCGCGCCTGGCTGCTGCCGCCCGCCGGCTGCTCATCGTCGAACTCCTCGGCGTCTGAGCGTCCCTCCTTCCTCGTCGGCCTCCCCCCCCCTCCTTGCACGCCGGCCAATTCGCTAGTTGGTGCCCCTACCTAGCTGGCACGCTGGTGCGGATTTCGCCGCCTCGCCGCCGACGAAAAAAAAAGTGTCCGAGTCTTCTGCAAGGGCTCCCAACTTCGCGCTTCGCGCTGCGCGAAGCGCGAAGCGCGAATAACTTCGCGCTCTCGCGCCGCCTCCCAGGGGAGAAGAGGAGAAGGAGGCATCGGAGCCGAACCGCGAAGCGCGAAGCGCGAATGACTTCGCGCCCTTGCGGGCGCCCTTGGTCCAAAAAAAATGTGCTTAGAACATAAACCCGATGTGATAAAACAAGACAGTCCCAACCAGAAATGTTCTAAGAACATTTCGTGCAAACCACAAAAGGTTCTCAGAACATTGCCTGGTGGGGCTACAGGCGAGCCAGGACGCTTCGCCACTGCTGGAGTGGAGCACGCCGCCTCGGGCCCGGCGCCCGCTGCGGGCCCGCGCCCAGGCTCCTCGGGGCCAGGGCGCGCCCACGGCCCGAGGCCGGCGGCTGCCGCGGCCCCGCCCCGGGGAAGCGCCGCTCCGGGCGTGGATCTCGCCCGGATGGGCCGGGCGGCACGGCCCTCATGCCGCGGAGGCTGCTGCAAGTTCCTCCGCCCTCCTCCCTCCCCCCCTCCGCCCTCCTCCCCCCCTCCCTCCTCCTCCTCCTCCTCCTCCTCCCTCCTCCTCCTCCCTCCCCCTCCCTCCCTCCTCCCCCTCCCCTCCGTCCTCCTCCCTCCCTCCCTCCTCCCTCCTCCCTCCTCCCTCCACCCTCCTCTCCTCCTCCTCCTCCTCCTCCTCCTCCTCCTTCCTCCTCCTCCTCCTCCTCCTCCTCCTCCTCCTCCCTCCTCCTCCTCCGCCCTCCTCCTCTCCTCCTCCTCCACCTCCTCCTCCTCCCCTCCTCCTCCTCCCTCCTCCTCCTCCTCCTCCTCCTCCTCCTCCTCCTCCTCCTCCTCCTCCTCCTCCTCCTCCTCCTCCTCCTCCTCCTCCTCCTCCTCCTCCTCCTCCTCCTCCGCTCCTCCTCCTCCTCCCCCTCCCCCCTCCCCCTCCTCCTCCTCCTCCTCCTCCTCCCTCCTCCTCCTCCTCCTCCTCCTCCTCCTCCTCCTCCTCCTCCTCCTCCTCATGCTGCTCCTCCCTCCTCATGCTGGTCCTCCTCTTCCTCCTCCTCCTCCTCCTCCTCCTCCTCCTCCTCCTCCTCCTCCTCCTCCTCCTCCTCCTCCTCCTCCTTCGCCTCCTCCTCCTCCTCGAAGGCCCTCGGGCTCCAGTCGTGGCCACGGCGCCTGCCAATTGGGAGCCCGGGAGGCCATCGCCACCAGCAGCGTCGTCATCATCATCATCTGGAGGAGGAGGAGGAGGACGACGACGACGACGAGGAGGGGAAGAAGGAACAAGACGAGCACGACGACAAAGAGCACGAAAAATAGTACGAAAACGGTTCGTCCGAAGGAGAAGGAGAAGATGATGAGGATGAGAAGGAGAAAGAAGAAGAAAATGAAGAAACGCATACAAAAAAATGAAGTGTAGTAAAACGACGAAGAGGAAGAATAATGAAGAAGAATTAGCCAAAGAAGAAGAAGAATGCAAGCAGCATGAAAAAGGCGCGATTATCTGTTTAAGAACAAAACTGCTCGGCACCAGGAGCTACCCCCCGTCGCCAGAAAGTGCTGATGAGGCGTCGCAGACCACGTCGGCTTGCGGGAACCAGTCGCTGGTGCCGTCCTCGAACTTCACTTTGTAGGACATGTCCGGATCGTCCTGCAGCCCCACGCCAAAGGAGTTTCCTCCCCCTCCTCCTCCTCCTCCTCCTCCTCCTCCTCCTCCTCCTCCTCCTCCTCCTCCTCCTCCTCCTCCTCCTCCTCCTCCTCATCCTCGTCCTCGTCCTCCTCCTCGTCCTCCTCCTCCTCCTCCTCCGCCTCCGCCTCCTCCGCCTCCCCCTCCTCCTCCCCTCCTCCTCCGATTCCCCTCCTCCTCCTCCTCCTCCTCCATCTCTTATTATTATTATTATTATTATCATCATCATTAGTATTAGTATTATTAGTATTATTATTATTATTATTATCATCATCATTGCTATCATCATTAATATTAGTATTAGTATTACCTTCTCATTAGTATTAGTATTAGTCGTATCGTCTTATACCTATGACATGTTAGCCTTAGTATTAATAACGGTCGTAGTATCATTATCATCAGTAGTGTTACCCTTATTTGTTATAAGTCTGAGTGTTGTCATCATTCGTATTCGCATCAGTTTTATTATTATTCCTCCTCCTCCTCCTCCTCCTCCTCCTCCTCCTCCTCCTCCTCCTTGTCCTCGTCCTCGTCCACGTCATCTTCCTCGTCTTCGTCCTCCTCCTCGTCCTCGTCTTCCTCCTCCTCCTCCTCCGCCTCCTCCTCCTCCACCTCCCCCCACCCCCCTCCCCCCTCCCCCCCTCCTCCCCTCCTCCTCCTCCTCATCCTCCTCCTCCTCCTCCTCATCATCATCTTCCTCCTCCTCATCCTCATCCTCCGCCTCCCCCTCCCCCTCCACGTCCTCCTCTTCCTCCTCCTCCTCCTCCGCCTCCCCCTCCCCCATCCCCGTCCTCCTTCCTCCTCCTCCTCCTCCCTCCTCCTCCTCCTCCCCTCTTCCTCCTCCTCCTCCTCATCATCATCATCACTGCCCTCTCCTGCATCCACCTGCGTCCATTCTCCCTCCGCCTCCGCCTACGCCTACGCTCCTCCTGCCTCCCTCCTCCCCCCTCCGCCTCCTCCCTCTCACTGCTCCCTCGTTCTCCCTCCCTCCGCTCCCTCCTCCTCCTCCTCCTCCTCCTCCTCCTCCTCCTCCTCCTCCTCCTCCTCCTATTCCCTATCCTCCTCATCCTCCTTCCCAATCCCTTTTCCTTACGGATAACTCCTCCCTGTCGCACCCCGAAACCTGTCGGTTGGGCGGGCTCAGCGTTTCGCTTGCGACTTCCTCGCCATGTATACCCCTAAAGCTAGCAAATTGCGACAAGTTCAAGGATGGAGGGCGGGCCGGCTTCAAATGTGGCTCTCGCCTTAGCGCCGCGCAAAATCGTCATCAATGCTTGCAATAGCTTCCAGGATGGAGGGCGGGTGATTTTCAGAATGTGGATCTCGCCTTAGCGCCGCGTACATTCGCCTCTGAAGGTTACGACAGTTTCATAGAGATGGAAGGCAGGTCCTTATCAACGTGTGGATCTCGCCATTGGGACGCGCGCATTCGTCTTAAAAGCTGCAACCGTTTCAAAGATTGGCATGGCTGAAGAATCAGAAACGGTGTTCTAGCACGACCTCGTATAGTCAGGACGCAACAGTCACGTTTATCCGCAGTGCTGAAGTCACAAGCATGGTGTTCTGGCATGACTTACGATTGTCAGGACACAACAACCACGCTGATTCGCAGCGTTGGAGTCCCAAAAACACTGTTTGGGCTCCATGAAGAATGCTCAGACGCTTGCCGTTCAGTGGGGCACTTCCCAGATTGAATATAACTTCGTGTCGGTGCCCATGAAGAGGAAACTTAGAGGAAGGGCGGAAGGGTGTCTTGTAACATTGCTGATGCGTCACACTTGCCCTCCCTCACTCTTCTCCTCCTCCTCCTCCTCCTCCTCCTCCTCCTCCTCCTCTTCCTCCGCCTCCTGCTCCATTCCTTCTCCTTATAAATAAAAAGAAGGGCACATGACTTGCTACCGAACGAATCCCCACTGCGAGCTTGAAATTGGGCACCAGCACCAACACAAGGGGCTGCCCCTACCGGGGGAAGATGATCCTAGATGCTGGTGTAGGTGGTAAAATCTTTCGGCCACCCAGGCAGCCCGAACATATTACCACCATCACCGAGATCAGGATCATCTTCCCTCGGTGGAGATGAACGTTGTCTTATTCGGGGTTTCGACACTGGGCGGAAGAGTGGGGGAGGGGGGGGGGTCTGCCTCCGGATCTCTACTTAGCGCGACTGCTTGTAGCAGTGCGCCCTATGGGCGAGAGACTCCACCTGCTTGAAACGGGCTCCAAAAACATCCGAGATCTACTCCATGGGAGGGGGTTCGAGGATCCGCGCCGATCGGCACAACATGTAATAAAGAAAACGATCACGAGACACACCGCCGATATGGGTGTTTGTGCCAACCTTCGAGTATGGGATCGACTACATAATTGACTTCCCCTAAACTTGATTTGCGCGTCGACACTGCGAAAGAATACGCAGCAACTTCCGCAGACCGAGCGAGCAGTGTACGTCTTTTTTCGAAGAGTCGACGGGGAATCAATTTTGGGGGTGAATCGATTCTGTAGCCGATCCCTTACGCAAAACCTCTGTGGGCGGCGAGCGAGGGGGGGAAGTGAGAAGGAGAAGGCCTTCTCAGAAGGCCGCGGGACTTCTCAGAAGCCCTCGCGCCTTCTGAGAGGTTTTGTGCGTCTTCGGGGAAGGCTCAGAAAACCTCTCAGAAGGCTTGGGGACTTCCGAGCCTTCTGAGAAGGCCCGCCCCTTCTCGCTTTCCCCCCTGGGCGCGCCGCCGACTCTGGGCCTCCGACAGGGGGCGGCTTTCGGGCGGCCTCCGACGGGGCGCGGCTTGTCGGCCCTTGCGAGCCGACGCCAGTCGACGCTTAGCCGACGCCACTCGACGGCGAGTCGACGCTGAGTCGACGCGAAGTCGACGCTGAGCTCCAGCTCCCGATCTGGGCCTCCGAAGGGGGGCGGCTTTCGGGCGGCCCCGCGGTCCGGGTCGTGCAGCACCACCTGCCCCGCGCGGCCCCTCGCCAGCACCCCGCTGCCCACGCCCGGCCGCGCGGCCATGGCGCCCCGCGGGGGAGGCGGGATGCCCCGGCCAGGCCAGGGAGGCAGGGAGTCGTCCTCCTCCTCCTCCTCCTCCTCCTCCCTCCTCCTCCTCCTCCTCCTCCTCCTCCTCCTCCTCCTCCTCCTCCTCCTCCTCTCCTCCTCCTCCTCCTCCTCCTCGTCCTGCTCCTCCTCCTCCTCCTCCTCCTCGTCCTGCTCCTCCTCCTCCTCCTGGCCCTGCTCCTCCTCCTACTCCTCCTCCTCCTACTCGTCCTGTTCCTCCTCCTCCTCCTCCTCCTCCTCCTCCTCCTCCTCCTCCTCCTCCTCCTCCTCCTCCCCTCCTCCTCCTCCTCCCTCCTGCTCCTCTTCCTCCTCCTCCCTCCCTCCTCCTCCTCCCTCCTCTTCTCCTCCTCCTCCTCCTCCTCCTCCTCCTCCTCCTCCTCCTCCTCCTCCTCCGCCTCCTCTTCGTCCTCCTCCTCTTCCTCCTCCTCCTCCGTCTCCTCTTCCACTCCCTCTACTGATAAATAAATAACTCCTCCATGTCGCACCCCGAGGCCGGTCGAAAGGGCGGGCTGGGCGTTTCGACTGAGACTTCCTCGCCATTCATGATCCTAACTTCAAAATTTGCAGGGGCTTCACGGATGGCAGCCCGTTTTCAACTTGTGGCTCTCGCCTTAGCGCCATTCGTCTGAAAAGCTTGCAAGAGCTTCACGGATGGAGGGCGGTTCCTTTTCAAAATGTGGCTCTCGCCTTAGCGCCGCGCACATTCGTCTTAAGAGTTTGCAGCAGTTTCGGGGAGGCGAACGTACAAGAAATGGTGTTCTGGCACGATGACGGAATGTCAGGGCGCAACAGTCACGTTGATTCGTGGTGTCGAAGTCCAAGAAGTTATGTTCTGGCACGATCCAGGATCCTCAAAACGTAACAGTAACGGTGATTCGCGGCGTTGCTGTCCCAGGAATAACGTTCTGACACAATTCCCGATTTTCAAACGGTTGTCTTCAAACCCTGCAGTGAAAATGAATCCGTGTAGGGGCCTGTGAAAGAACTTGGAGGGAGGCGTATTGCAATATCCTCGATGAGTCTTGGGTTTGAACTAGTTATTCTCCTCCTCCTCCTCCGTTCCTCCTCCTTCTCCTCATCCTCCTCCTCCTCCTCCTCCTTATCCTCCTCCTTATCCTCCAAAACCCCGCGACACCGTGTAAAAGAACAGCGGCAGGAGCGGCCCGCATCGAATCGATAAATCGGCTCGGATCGGAGCGGGCATCGAATCGGGACGCATCGGCACGCAGGTCGGGATCGAATCGAATCGGCCAACCCAGGACGAACAACAACGCCATGCGGGCATCGAAACGCATCCGATCCTCGAGGTATCGGACTCGAATCGAAATCAATATCGGTATCGATATCGAATCGGAATCGAGCATCCGAGCCAACTGACATCGGCATCGAATCAAATCGATCAGATCGACATGGGGCCCTGCAGCGGTCGGCCCTTCTCGGCACTTGGGGGGGGGCCTTACCAGGCCACAGGGCTCGAGATGAGAAATCAGTCCTGGGGAAAGAGGGTCGAGACCTCCGAAAGGGCTAAACGGGGGGGAATTCTAACCGGGGGAGCCCCCACCCCGGAATTGCAGAGGGAGGGGTTCGAACCGGGTCCCCTCCCCTTCTCCCAGGGGGGTGGTTCGAGCCAGAGGGGGGGAAGGGGAAGGGGGGCCCGAATTGCAAGACGGAGGGGCTCGAACCAGCCCGCCCCCACCCCACCGAGCGCAGGCGCCAGCGCTGGCGCTGTCGGGCAGCGAAGACGGCGGCGACGGCGGCGGCGGCGGCGAAGACGACGACGACGACGACGACGACGACGACGACGACGACGAAGATCGAGACTTCGTCGACTGCAAATAAAACTGGATCGAGCCCTCGTAAGATTCTATAATCCCACCAGCCCTTTCGGGCGTGAGTGGTTTGAGGGATGTTGTCTTCTCTCTCTCTCTCTCTCTCTCTCTCTTTCTCTCTCTGCCAAAACCCCTCCTTCCACAGCTCGGGAGAGGGGTTTATCACTGTTCCTTATTAATAAACATCCCCTCCCCCAGGCGACTGGGGGCCAACCCAGGTCCATGACGACCCCCCCCACCATTCCCTGTAAAAAACAATACAAACACACACTCTGCCTCCAAATTCGGAACATGCGCAGCCAACCCGATGCGCCCCCCCCCACACCATCCCTGTCAAAAACAATACAGAGTACACTTGGCGGCGGCGGCGGCTGCGGCGGCTGCGGCGGCGGTGGCGGCGGCTGCGGCGGCTGCGGCGGCGGCGGCGGGGGCGCGGCGGCGGCGGGGCGGCGGCGGCGGGCGGGGCGGCGGCGGCGGCGCGGCGGCTGCGGCGGCGGCGGCGGCGGTGGCATTTCGGCGGCGGCGCGGTTTGGCGGCGGGGGCGGCGGCGGCGGCGGCGGCGGCGGCGGCGGGCGGCGGCGGCAGGCGGCGCGGCGGCGGGCGGCGGGCAGCGGCGGCGGCGGCGGCGGCGGCGGCGGCGGAGGCGGCGGCGGCGGAGGCGGCGGCGGCGGCGGCGGCGGATTGGCCCCCAATAGCTGCCCATCCAAAGACGACTGCTGAATATGCTGAGGCTCGGGCCAGACTCGGGTGTTACGTATGTGTTGGGAGGGCGGGTGGGAGTGAGCCAGACGGCTTGCGGGCGGGGAGGGGGTCTTGACCCCTCCTTCTACCCTCGCCTGGGCCTGGACGAGGGGGGGGCACGAGGGGTCAGAGCGTCCAAAATTACCCAAGGTGGCTCCAAGAGGGTCTCAGAGAGCCCACGATGGCCTCCAAGAGGGCTCAAGATACTTCAAGATGACTCAAAAGACGGCCCCAAGACGTTTTCAAGAGCCCTCAGAGCCCTCCAAGGACCCCCCCCAAGAGGCCAAAATGGCTCCAAAACCGAAGGAAAATCATGTGTGTTGCCTTTTTCGCCTCCTCGATTCCGATAAGCTCTTGAAGCCTTACGATGGCCCCAAGACGGCCCAGCAGAGCTCCCAGAGGGACCCAAGAGGGCCCCAAGGGGGACCCGAGAGCGCCCAAGAGCGCCCCAGGAGCGCCCCAAGAGGACCTCAAGACACCATGTTTGAGCCTTCCAAGGGGGGACCTGAATTCACCCTCCCCCCTCTTTTTGAGCTATGGGGCCCCAGACGGCCCCAAGAGACGTCCCAGACCCCCCCAAAGAGCCCCAAGAGGGACCCAGATCCTAGACCCCCCAAAAGAGCCCCAAGCGGGCCCCAAGAGTGCCCCGAGTGGCTCCGCGAGGACCCCAAGAGAGACCCAAGGCGGCTCCAAGAGACCTCCGAGAAAACACTTCCACGGCGGTTGTTACATAGCATGCTTCCAAAGTTCCCTGATCAAGGCAACTCGCCTGGCGATATGTTTCTGGATGGGCTGGTGGGGATACTTTCTTGGTTGGCGGCTCCGAGGCGGCGGACAGGGAGCGGTCAAGTTGATCCGGGGCGCGGTACCAACGAATTGACGAGAAGATTGCCGCCGCAGAGGCGGGCGAAACTCGTTCGTAGAAAATTGGCGCGAGATTGCCGCAGACTCCAGCGGACAACACACGCAGTGGCGCAACTGGTGGGGATACGCGAAGCGACGAGAATTCTATTGGAGCTGGGTCGAGCCCTAGAAAAATTCACTTTGATCTTGATCTAGCTATCGCAGATTTCTACCAGGGCTAGATCGAAACTTAGTAAGATTCACTTAGAGGTGGATTCTGCTGTAATATGAATATATGAATGCTGTTTCGAGTCAGGCTAAGATACTATTGAAGATGGACCCAGCAAAAACCAGATTCTCTTAGAACTTGATCGAACCTTGCACTGCAAAGGTCCTAACGGATATTGAAAGGATTGGCGAAAATTCGCCGCCGATTTCGGTAAGCGGCTGGGTTCCCGGGTTCTCCAAGTCTGGGTTACAGGTTCTCGTTTCTGGGTTCCGAATTGGTCTTGGCGAAAACTCGCCGCCGATGTCGGTGGACGGCCGAATTCCCGGGTTCTCAATTCTGGGCTCCTGGTTCCCATTTCCTGGTAGCGGACTGGTCGCGGTGGGTGGCTGGGTTCCCTGTTCTGGGTTCCGCGTTTCCGTTTCCGGGTTCTGGATTGGTATCAGTGGGCGGCTGGGTTCCCGGGTTCCCGGTTCCTGGTACCAGGGTTCGCCATGTACATGTACATTCACGTATACATATACACATATATGTGTATGCTCCCCGCCAGCACTCCACCTCGAATGATTTTGATCTCCCCACACTCCTGATCGTCTCTCCTGTTCTCTTTGACTGCCGTTCTCATTATCCTCTTCCTCGTCCCTTGCGCTGCCTCCCCCCCTCCTCCTCCTCCCTCCTCCTCCTCCTCCTCATTCTCCTCCTCCTCCTCCTCACCCGCCTCGTCCTCCTCATCCTCCTCCTCCTCCTCCTCCTCCTCCTCCTCCTCCTCCTCCTCCTCCTCCTCCTCCTCCCCCTCCCCCTCCTCCTCCCCCTCCTCCTCCTCCTCCTCCTCCTCCTCCTCCTCCTCCTCCTCCTCCTCCTCCTCCTCCTCCTCCTCCTCCTCCACCTCACACCCTCTCCGTAGCCATTGCGGCTCAAGTCATGTGTTCCGCCCGCTTTCGGCCGCGCGGGACCGCTTGGGATGGCTGCGGGACGCCGCCTTGAGGCGGAGGTGCTGCGCGGCGCGGCAGGTGCACGCGCCGCGGCGGACCGTTTGTTCGCCAAGCTGCAGGACGAAGTGGCTCGGCTGAAGGCTCAGCTGGGCAGTGGCAGCGGCCGCGGCGCCGTGGCCGTGGAGGTCGCGCGCCGAGAGGCCTTGGCCCGCCCCGCTCTTGTCGCCCGCGTTCGAAGTCGTTCGGAGCCCAACCAGGCTCGGTTAGTGCGGAACGTCGCCCTCCACGCCAAGAAGTACCCTGCCGCCGGGGCGCCGCTTTCGGAATGGCGCAGCGCGCAGCGAGGCAGTCGGCTGGGGACCGACGGCGTGGCCGTCGACGACGATAGCGACGAGGACGTCATCCCCGCTGTTCGTGACCTATTCCTCGGCGCCCTGCAGGTGCAGCCGCCGCTCCCCGTCACGGGCGGCGCAGTGTGGCATGCAGGTGTTCTGGAGTGGTTTTTGCAGCAGGGATTATAGTTCAAGTCCATTTCATTTGCTGTCGTGGACTCCGAGGTCGGTTTCGACGCTCCCGAGGGGTCCCAGGTGCGCAACGAGACTCAGGAGCAGTAGGTCCAGGCCAGGCTGCTGCGGGTCGACGCGGAGGTCCTCGTGCCGAGCGCGCGGCGGGGCGTCCGCTGCACGTGCGGCACCGTCGCCTTCACGAGCGTCTCGGACTTGCCCGCGGCGCCGGCCGCAGAAGGGCCCCTGCGGGGGATAGCTGCGCTGCCGCCGGTTGAGACGGTGGCTGCTGCAAGGGAGCCGCTCGCCCAGCCAGAATTCCTTGTTTCGGCTGCACAGCTTCCTCAGATCTCCGCACCTCCTTTGACGAAGGTGAGGGCAGCCCAGAATTGCCCCTTCTGCTATTGACGAAGGGTGTGGGCAGCCCAGAATTGCCCATTCTGCTTTTGACAACGGTTGTGGGCAACCCAGAAGTGCCCAGGTACATTCTGCTGCAGGAGCGTCGTCTTCAGCCTCGCGCTCCTGTTCGCATTCGGTGCTTGGAGGTGGTGGCCCTCGGGTGATGGTGGACCCACCGACGGGCGAGGAGCTGCTCCCCTCCCCGAGCCTCGTGCCAGGACCGCCGACGGGCGGTGCGGGGCCTTGCCCTGGCACGGGTGCTGTCGCCACCACCTCCCATGTTCTCGCAGTTCATGCGACGAGTTCGGCATCTCCTTCATCGTTCACCGCGACTGGAGCGACTTCGGCGCCTGGTCTTTGCAACGGTGGCGAGGGCTCTGCGGACTTCGACGATGCGGAGCTGGCGGATTGTGGCAGCACCCCGCAGCAGGGCGCGGCTGGACCGTCGCCCCCTTTGGCCGTTGACGGCCCGCTGGATTGGAGATCAGCTCAGGATTGGGCAGCCGCCGAGGAGGCTCCCGACGGGGTCATGTTTAACCAGCTGTTGAAGCTGCGGCACGGCGCCATCCAGCGGGGTTTGAGGAGCTCCGAGTGCCCTGCAGGGCACGCCTTGGTCTTCGAGACCGTGCCGCCTGGCGAGGAGGACTTTTGATTGCCAACTCTGCGATGGCGAGTACTTCGAGCCGTCCGAGCAGTTCGTGTCATGCTCGGTTGTCTCCTGCGAGTGGCGGTTCTGCATGCAGTGCTGCGCCAACCACGGTGGGACGACCACGGCTTAGCGCTCTTGGTGGGAGAGCTGGCGGCGCACGGCGAGCCTGGCGCTCGTGGCGGTGGAGTTGCTCATCCTCTTCCTGTTCGCTAGGTTCGGGGTTGCCCTAGAAAACTCCCTCGCCTTTCGGCGATGCCTCGGCCCAGCACTCACCGCTGGCGCGCCGAGGGAGCGGCGGTCGTCACCCTGGGGGGCGCCCAGGAGACGTCGGGACGGCCGCCGTCGGGCCGCGCTTCCTCCTCCCCGCTCTGTGGATATCAGCGATGTCCAGCGATTTCCACCTCACTCCCTCACTCCCTCCCTCCCTCCCTCCCTCCATTCCGCCATTCCTCCCTCCTCCTCCTCCTCCTCCTCCTCCTCCTCCTCCTCCTCCTCCTCTTCCTCCTCCTCCTCGCCCACCTCCTCCGTTCTCCACCACCTCCTCCACC